CTCTCTCTCTCTCTCTCTCTCTCTCTCTCTCTCTCTCTCTCTCTCTTTCTCTTCCTCCTTTTTTCCATTTTACCCACAGCTTTATTTCGTCATCCGGTGTTTTATCTTATCCCGAAGAAACAGAGGTCCCGGGTCCTCGGATACCCGACTCCATTACTGTATTCCTCGGAAACCTTTTCTTTTATCTTCCACAAACATCATTATTTCGCTCCTTCAAGCGTTTGAAATTAAAAAAAAAAAATCTTTATTCGAATTTATGAGTTTTTTTCATTATTTTCCCATTTTTATGTATCTTAAGATAAGAAAAATAACATGAAGGGAATATAATAGTAGATGGACCGAGAAAATGGGTGGGAAAAGTCGGGTTTATAGCCTTGGTTGCACTCGAAAAGGCGCCAGAATCCAACATCTGCGAGTGTCCTCAAGACTGTCGAAGAAAAAAAAGAAAAGATCCTTCACACAAAATGATTTACGATCTCTCCTCCAACTTACTGACTCTCAGTTATGATACTACCTGACTTATAATACTGTACTCCACCTACCGAGGGCCTCTAATATATTCAACAAAAAAGTGAAGAATGAAGAAAATTCCTGCGGTTAAGTAGTAGGTGTGGAGAGGCTTAATTTTATTTAACAAAAGGGATTTTGAGTTTTTATTGATAAACTAGGAAGTTTTTTCGCTCCATTTTAATATTGGGGATATATAGGTTTTCAAAATGTAGATGACTACACGTTGAATAATTTGCGTTGTATGTGCAGAGATTGATTGAGCGAAAACAATTTTCTTGTTGCAATTTTTCTGCGAAAATTTTCTTGACTTTTCAGCGGAATCATCAGACTTTTTCCTTTGGTTATCTTCACTCGTACGGGATCTTTCAAAACTATCGTAACAATAAAAAGAACATATTTTTAATAATTTCTTTTATGAATTTCGTCATTCTTTTTATTATTGGAGCATTTAATCCTACAGAGATGTCCTTCTTGAATATCTATATTGATTTGTCTCAAAAATGAACCAACAACAGCTTTGAAGACTCTGATATTGGAACTTCTACATTGATAAGGATAAAATATAAAAATCGATGCAGCCCCATGATTCATTGGTTTGAAATTTCAAACTTGATACAACGGGTGTAACCACAAGGATTCTCAAGGGAAAGCCGAGGAGAAGAGTTGTTCCAGCGTGCTTCCTCGAACGTAATTACGCAAGTGAGAGGGGAGCGAGCTCTGAGGGTTTTCCAAAGAGAAAAAAAAACATTAACATGGGGTTTTTGGATTTGGGGTCGAAACACACGTCGTAAGGGCTTTTGTTTAGGCTTCCTTCAGGGCCCATCAAAGCATCCACAACCAGGAATACATTCGCTCGCGCCAAACCAACCATTGCCAAGTCGTTTTCGCAAGGCGTGGGAAGTAATTCGCATAATATGCCTCACTGGGTGTGTGTGAGAGAGAGAAAAAAGGACAACGTTACGTTAATTGCGGGTGTCCGTGAGCTGCCCCAGAGAAAAGAATCGAGGGTAGACTATAGTGATTACGGCGTTTAAGAATATATCCGTGATCGCGACGTTTAGGGACTCACGAAATTTCAAATATTTTTTTTCTGTTATTTTTCCATTCTTTTTTCAGTTTTTGTCTTCTATTTTTCGAAGTAGAAAATAGACTTGGTCATTTTACTTTCTGGTTGTATTTCTATGCTCTCCCTCGAGAAACGAAGAAGAAGAATTGGAAGAGGATTGGTGGAATCGAATGAGAGGGGTCGCGCCCTGGAGGACTGCGACTGTAATTGGCACCCATTAAGTGATTTATGGCTGTGATACTCCACCTAAGGCCAAATCTAGGGACAATACTTTTGCCTGGATTTGTTATTGAATCAATGTGAAATGGGTTGTTGCGGTTTTCAGTTTTTTTGAATCAGTCTGATTGAATTTTCAAAAAATCGGTGAAACGGAGAGGCCCATGCGAAATTTGTTTATAGAAAACGGGGAAAAACCCTGCACTGTTGAAAATTTTCATCTGAATTTTCCGTGCCAAATTTCGGAACGTTTTATCCTGTTCAAGTTTCACTGAAATTTCAGGAAATCTTTTCATTGAGAAATCAAATATTCCATTGATTCCCTGTTCAAATAATCTGGAAATCAATAAAGTACTTGATTTTTCAGTTCAATTATTCTGTGAAAATTCCGAAAAATCAGGAAAATTCAGGGAAAAATTGAAAATTCATGTCATTTTGTTTCTGAATATTCGTGTTCCACTGAAGATGCAATCAAGTTGTGAAATTTCCATCTCACTCCCACTGAAAACTCACGAATTTTCGTGAATTCTACTTAAAACTTGAAATTTCAAAAACATTTTTTCCCTAAATCCGATTCAATGTCACTCTCACGAGATTTACTATAATATCTTCCATGAAATTTCCAAATATTTCTAACAGTGTACTTTGGCGAACATTTTAACCGCCATCAATCAGTTGATGAAGAATTCTATTTGAATATTGTAATTGAGAAATTTGTATGTTAGATTAATTTGTTCATTCATTTTTGTTACAGAAACTCCGAAGAATGAATATAACAACAAGCATCAGTCGACAGGAAACAGCCCAGTAAAGGTCGAACTTCAGAACAACATGGACAGGTAAGACCAATCACATTCCCAACGATCGATTACCCTCACTCAGCATGACACAGTCACCTTAAAATCCATAGAGGAAAAGGAAGGGAAAAATTGCAACGGCTTCTGTTGTGACGGTAAAATTCGCTAAAACCCGAGGTGACATTTATACCACACTCTAAGAAAATTTCTGCCACTTCATTCTCTAAATTCCACCGTGAATTGAGAATGAACGTGGCGTATGCCCATGCATCATCCCTTCATTCATGCAGTTGAATAATACAATGAGGGAACGGTGTCCCAGTTGTTTGTGAGGAATATAGAAATTGTGAAACGTCGGAGACTCTTCCAGTTTACTGTGGAAAATCGCTCGACTCTTGAAAATGTCCAACGGTCCTTAGAAATATTTGACTTGAGGACCCTTGAGAGTGTGGTTCTGTTCCCTCGAGACCCCATGGACTGGCCCCCCGAATGATGAAAGAAACCCACAGTAGTGAGGGGAAAAAATACCAGACACTTTGATATGGAGGAGGAAAATGAACAAAAAAAATGAAAAATCTGTTGAAAAAAAAATCCCAGAATCCCTGCCTCCCTTTTCTGCCCCTAACTTCTGACAGTAGTGAAAACAAATAATCAGGAAAAACGTAAATCATTGCCTAAATTTTTAATGAGAAAATGGAAAATATATTTTTCTCTCTATTTTGCACAATTCAACATTGTACTCTATTTATTCTATTTACTTTTTCTCGCTGGATCAACTTCATTCGAGATTTTTTCACGTTTGGAATAACCGGAAATAAATATATTTTATAATTTCATATTTAAGAGATGAACGATCGGAGAAAAAAAGAATGTCGTTCCCTTTTTTTTCTCGGCTTCAGCAAGTGTGGACGTCAAGCAAACTACAACAATCTGTCTATCTCGTTCAAATATTATAGTTAGTCTCCCTTTCTACCTAAAGCCACTGACAATCATTCCAAGACGAGTGTAAACACTTCCATCAGTCGGGGTTCGCTCCGTGGGTGTATGTACACGATTCAAAACTAGAATAAAACGAAAAATCATCACTTATCTCCCTCATCACTTTCATGTCCCCTGACAACTAATGGCGAAATCCTTGAGTGTCCAAAAAAACTTGAATAAAAAGAAATAAGAGCAGACCAAGTCGTAAATCATTCATTCGATGCCATTCAACCGATTGAGACACATTTCCTATCCTTATTTACATGTGTTCGGTTTAAGTGCTACCATCTGGGATGTCTGGTACGATTAGAAACGGTTTTTGAACCTCCGACTGATTCAGGAATAAAAACACCCACGCCAGCTCAAACTCATGCAGCCCTAAACCATAAAGATACATCATAACAGCAGCGGGTACCTGAGAGTGTTGTGCACCAAGAGAAACCCATTAAAAGAATTTTTTTTCTCTTGTTAATTGTGGAAACAACCTGACCATCAATTATTTTTCGAGAAGCGTTTACTGGAACTAAATATTTATGTAGAACGTCATTTTTATTGTTGTCCCCCTATCAGCATTCCAAAGGCAATTTCATCTCCAATTTTAACGACACTACATCTTAAATTTAAAAAGGAAATGGCGACTCTTATTTGAATAATAATATGAGTTGAAGAACGTTGGAAGATGTTCTTTCATACCCTCCATCGCCATTTACAATATAATATGCCTATGAATGTCGCATAAATCTTGCACTTTTACTAATGACTTCTATCTTACAGAGTACCAATACCATATGGTCACGCACCATCAATGATCCCAATGAGGAGGCAAAGTATTCGCTGCCATTTTCGCAAGGGAATTGACTGGTGCAGCTGGAAGCTCATTGCAATAGTAGTTATAATGGTTTCACTGTGTCTCACAGCAGCCCTCACATACGTAGCGGGTAATTATCGCCTTAAACCAATCGCACTAGGTTCCCTCTAATCAAATAGCCCTCCCATAACAAAATTTTCTGTTATTTTAATTCAAGCTTCGAATATAGTGAACTGGTCGTATCAAGGAACCAAGGCCTGCACAGTCCTAGTCGGGGACAATGGGGATGGCAAGGCATCATCAGAATCTAAAAATTCCTCATCAGCTTCCTCAACATCATCGCCAGGGAGGTCGAGGACGCCATCATCCGGAGGTAATCATCTGGATATTTTCGACTTCTACAGTCGCAAACGTAGAGACACAAATCAGCATGATAATTTGCACATTGATAATTATCAAGAATCAAGTAGTTTGGCTGATGTAACGATGCATGATGGTATTGGGATAACTGGTAAAATCTCAACAGTTTCTAGTGTTCACGATGAGTCCAGTGGTTTTACTAACTTGGGTGATGGTACTTCTAGTGTTTCTGTATCTTATGCTTATGATTTTTCTTCTTCTCATCGTTCCAAAACTACCGAACATTCACAAAGCTCGGATGTAGTTTCATTCTCCGAAGAAACCACTAGTGATATACCTAGGATTAGTGAACTTTCCGAGGACATTGCAGAAGAAACTTCTCAGATTTCTATCCAACTAACAACTGACATTGGAATTGGAACTTCCACTGGAAGAAGTACTTCAGTAGATGAAGAAATGTCAGAGTCATCCCTGGTGAAGGACAATTTTGAAGAGTTTGATGAGGATTCAGGTAAGTTGAATGTGGAGTGGGCAGACAGAGTCGATCAGGATACATCGGAAAAAATCTTGAAGATAACTGATGAACTTCCTGATGAATTCTCAATGTCAGAGATCGAAGTTCCTCCCCAGCAAATCGACAAGTCTGAAGAACCTCAACAGGATTATCCAATGCCAGTTTTTACTCGTTTGAACGAGGAAGTTGAAATAGTGAAACTGAATGAAGAGAAGTCAACAACAATGCTGAAGAAAACTGTGTACAATCCAATCAAACAAAACGAAAAGATGGAAAAGATTAAAACAAACTTGGTAACAAACGATGTTAAAGAATCATCAGATTACTATAGGGACCTTTCTCAGGAAGATTTAGGAGTCATTATGAAGGAGGGAAGTGATGAAGACTTTCTGCGTGAGTTTAACCGACGTTTCCGTGACCATGAATTTATCGATAATGAGTTATTTCCGCCGGAATCGTCTCCAAAGCTCGTTGAAAATGTTCCACACAACTTCTCACATGGCACGTATGGCTGGGAGCGTACTAATTCAATATTAAATCCTAACAAACATGAAGTACTAACAAATGGTGGGAGTGATGTAGAAGTGCCCGTAAATCATCTATCTCTCGATCAGAATCCACATCGTTTGCTCATTAACATTTCAATAGCCACCGAGGACCGATTCTCATTGACAAAACCTATGTACGTGCTATCAGTTTCTGTGCCAAGCGATGGAAATCCTAATAACATTATTCCTGGAATTAACATTGGTCCTGCTCAGCTACAGAGAACTAATGAGGCTTTAGAGGTACCTCTGCCACCACCACCACAACCACCTGTCCAACCACCGCCAGTGTGGGGTGGTGGTGAGTGTGAATGCTCGTGTCCTTGTATGGAGACGTCGTCTGATGAGTGGGACAATTTTCCAGCTGACGACAATCAGACGAGTGTTGATGAGGATCTCAGTGACGATGAAGGGACTGGTGAAAGTGGATTTAAGGGGGTGGACAATGGGGTCAGTGAGAGTAACACTGAGGAGTATTCGTCAAGTACTGAAGGGTTTAGTAGTGGTTCCAACACTGAAGGGAGTCAAACGGTTTCAGAGGAGCTGAGTAGCACCACTGATGCTAGTTTCTGTACTACTCCACTACCCCCAGAGCCTACTATTCTTATTCTCGAAGGTGAGGTCGACGTTACCCAAGAGTTTCCTACGACTGTTTTTTAATTCAAGTGAAAACCATTAATTGCATGTGGTTCGAGCTTCATGCTGCTTTCTAACATTTTCTTTGAGGTAGACTTTAGATTGAGTGATTAATGTGAGAATAACAAGCTGCGTATGGAAATAATTTGGAATAAGAGGAGTGATGAATACAGTCATAAAAACCTCTGCTTATCTGCAAATCTGCATATCCATTTTATATTCTTCAATTGCTTAAAAGTCTTATTCTCTGTCCCAATTCTCGAATCGAAGTTTAAAAATTTTGGAGAGAGTCTCAAGACTATTGATGTTTTTCTTCAAATCCATGCGTTTCCGTGAAATTGGTAAAATGAATAAAAGCGCTTGAGAATTCATGCAAGAGAGGAAGAGACTTGCTTACAGTAAAATCCAACACACAATAATAAATGATGAATTGAAAAATCTTTCAGGTGCAAGGACCTTTCCAGCAAGGTCATTCCCACCCGATGGCACGACATTTGCTCAAGTCAGTCTCGGTCAACGCCTCAGCAAAGAAATACCAGCCTACAGCTACTGGAACATGCAATTTTATCAATCCGAGGCGGCCTACGTACGTTTTGATTACAATATCCCTCGGGGTGCCAGTATCGGTGTCTATGCCAGGCGAAATGCCTTACCAACACACACTCAGTATGATCTTCTGGAGGTACTCAGTGGATTCAAGGCGAGAACGACCCGGGCTTCACATGTTAGTGTCATTGTATGTGCTAGTATTTTTCTTTTTATTTGCATATCCACTTTTTAACCTTTCATTTTTTTTCACTGGCTTTTTTATTACTTATTTTTAATACACAGACAACTACAGAGTGAAGTGAACAAAAAGAAATAAGTTAAGTTTATGGAATATATTTTCAACCTATAATTATTCCTTGTAAACTTATTTCGTTTCACTACTTTACTCTCCTTTTTGCTTCCGAATGGAAGCATTGCAATCATTCAGATTCAAGTTTTGGATTTTTCGTGTTATATAGACCCAGTTATGTAAACAAATTTTTCTTCGATTGTTCGCTAATGAATCGATGGAATTGAATCTTTTTTCTTTCTCAAATGTAGGTAGTGTTGAAGCCTATCAATCGCCATTAAGTAAAATTCAATTCATTTATTAATTTTTTTAACTATTAAAATTAATAATTTTTTTTGTCACGATAACTAAAAAAATGTTCTGAATTGATTGAATGATGGCTTAAAAAATTTGTTTGGATGCGCTTTTGACCGAGTTCAAAGATGATTTCGATAGCAATAATCGTTATGTTGATTTATTTGAAAATTTGCAAAAATTCTGTATTTTTTGAAAATCAAATTTCCCGGAATATCTTTGAATATCATGCTTCAAATGAATTCATTCCATTCCCTCCGAATGCTCCTCACACTCCGAATGCCATTAAGTCAAAGTTAAACGATGACTACGATAGCTATATTGGTTGATTTGATATTTATGATGATTGTTGAAAATTTCAAATTTTTCATGAATTTTCCTGAAACTCAGCTTTTTGATGGTTTCTTCAAATCATAGATCGGTATCAATCATTACTTCAGTAATATTATGAGAAGTTGCTCCTTACAGTAATTTAGATTTGTTTATCATAATTGGAATTTGAAAAATAATATAAGAATTGGTAATTTAATTTCTCAATTATTGGTTGATACAATAATTCGGAATTTGAAAATTTAAATTTATGGTTATTTTTATAATCATAAAATTCGTGAGTAATATTAACAATTAACTTATTCACAATTCAACTTTAATTCAAAATTTCGATCATGCCGATATCGGCTTCAAATGTGATGATTCAAATTCATTCAATTATATATAAATAACATTTTACTATTGACATTTTATCGAATGCCTGAGGGGAGAGATAGAACTGTAAAAAAGACAATTGGTTGTATAGAAGAAAGGGATAATAAGAATAATGATGATGATAACATGCAACTAAGTTGAAGATCTGACAAAATTAGTTAAAAAGAAATTTTATTCAATTTAATAAAATAAAATAAACAGTGAATGATACATGATAGAAGGAAATGATGTGCAAAATAACCATTCGGAAGCATATTGCTAATTTATTAGCAAAAATCACCATACTATATTCAATACAAGAGCAATTTACCATTTATTTCTGTATTAAAAATAAAAATTGATGAACTTTTCAGCCTTCGATAAAGAAAGAAGTTACTCACTACATGGAACCAGGTCACTGGTTCCTCTCTCTTTACAACGACGACGGTGATCCCCAAGAAGTTTCATTCATCGCTGTAATTGCTGAAGACATGACTCATAATTGTCCAAATGGTTGCAGTGGCAAAGGAGAATGTCTCCTTGGTCATTGTCAGTGTAATCCCGGTTTTGGGGGTGAAGACTGCAGTGAGAGTGTTTGCCCAGTGCTGTGTAGCCAGCGTGGTGAATACATTAATGGTGAATGCCAGTGTAATCCGGGGTGGAAAGGCAAAGAGTGCTCACTGAGACACGACGAGTGCGAAGTGCCAGACTGCAATGGCCATGGTCACTGTACCAATGGGAAGTGCAACTGTGTTAGGGGATACAAGGGTAAATTTTGCGAGGAAGCTGATTGTCCACATCCAACTTGCTCTGGACATGGATTCTGTGCCGAGGGCACTTGTATATGCAAGAAAGGTTGGAAGGGGGCTGACTGCAGTCAAATGGACAAGGAAGCACTACAGTGTCTGCCTGATTGCAGTGGACATGGAAATTTTGATCTGGAGAGTCAGACCTGTCATTGTGAACCCATGTGGTCTGGTGATGATTGTTCTAAGGGTAAATTTCCACCTATTTTCCACTATATTTTACTTTATTATCTCCCCTTTTCGTTTCACTAAAAACCTTTCTCTTTCGGATACACAAGAGATCAGTAACATATTGCTAAAGAATTTTCTTTTTTAAGGCCCGGGTGGATTACACTGTCCGACAAAAAATGAGCTTTTTCGAGGCCGTACATGTAATAAGAACGAAATTAAAGATTTTTTCACGCTGAATTCAACGGCGTTTGTCAAATTGCTCTATCGCGTCAAGTTTCTGAGAAAAAAAATATTGAAGTTGGGAAATAGGTCCATAAGTGGATAATTCAAATTTAAAAAAAATAGTGAAAAACTCATTGTATTGAGTTTTAAAAAAAAGTAAAAAGTAATGACACTCTCAGTTTCTGTACATGAAGAACATTTCCCAATTGCTATTTCGGTTATCATGAGAAAAACTCGCAAATATTGTGAATTTCATCATTTGGTATTTCTCATTAGAAAGAGAGAAGAACAGCTGGAAGTTAGTTGCGCGTTTCCATAACCCCGCTAAACTCAATTCAGTCATTTCAACGTACACGTAACCTCCCGATTTTATTCGTGACTATTGAAATGGTTTCTGAAAGGGATTTTCAACTGGTCCACCTTATGGAGATGATACCTCTGCTATGGAAAAACGGTTTGTCGGATCTTTGTGCAGAAAATGTGCCAGTATGGGAGTCACTCGCTGCCAAACTTACCCCTCAAATGACAAGTATTTTATTGCCACTAGCTAAACAGAGAGCTTATTCCTCATAAAATCCTTTTCTTCCCTTGAGGTGTGAGTGCGTGCACCAGGTTCCTCGCCCTGGCCATCCGTTTTTTGGTTACGCACACTCTTATAATGAAGGAACAACGCAAGAATAATACTCCTGTGGAGCCACCCAAATAGTCCCTGTATAAAAGTCTGATGTTCCTCACCATTCTATGTCGCGATGATGTAGATGTTTTTGATCTGGAAACCCTCTCTGAAACGTCGTCTTTCTGCTGTATGAATTCCTAATTAATTATGTCGATCATTTCTCCGAAAACGAACTTCCAAGATGATCAATCCATTCTAACATTTTCCACTACTAAATATATATTTGCAATATTGAAGAGCCCCCGCCATTTTAAATGAATTAAAACGATTTAATCTATTTTTTTTTTATCTCAATTCATTGATTCGATTTCAAAATATAAGCAAAAAAAACTAATTGAAAAAAAAATAGATCTTCCAAGAATACCCATGTATTTTTGACATTCGCATAGAATTGTAATTTTTTAAAACATTCCCTCATAAATAAATGATGGAAATTATTTAAACTTTCGAAAACCTTATTATTGTAAAATGTCCAAACACTTAGGATCAAATGTGAAGCTCAGATGGAAGCTATTAATTCATATTTTCTATCTTCTTTTACGAATTTCTGCGTTTTGGAATGAAATGTGACTGCTATTTCTCTTATGTACACTGTTATCATCGCTCGTAGCATTCCAAAAATACTCTCTTAGCATTTTAATTTCATTTTTTCCTTGATACCATCGCTCCAGCTTAACGATGTCCTGGTGAAAACGTTCCCCGTGCTCATCGCTGAAATCCGCAAGGTTCTCCGGAAAAAAATTCAAATGATCATGCAAAAAGTGAACTTTAAGCGACATATTACAGCCCATTATACGAAAATTTTCCAACATATCCTTAACAATTTTCCGGTATTCTGGTGAACGGTAGCTGCCGAGGAACTCCTGGATAACTCGCTTCAAGGAACGCCACGTTTGTCTTTCGATTTCGGTCAGTGTCTCTTCGAAATCGGTATCATTCTGCATCGGTTTTCCTATTTGGGGCCCCACAAAAACTCCCTCTTTTATGTTTGCCATACTCAATTTCGGGAACAGCTGCTTGAGGTAGGTGAATGCGGGTGCGTCTTTCTGAAGCCCTTTTACAAAATTCTTCACCAACCCAAGTTTTATGTGCAGAGGGGGTAAACAAATTTTCTCTCGTTCAGCAAGTGGAATTCGAAGGATATTCCGCATGACCTGGAGTGAACCTTTGACGTGGAGCCCAGTTCACCGTAGAATAGTGATTCTTCCTGTCACGACTATCCCACTGACACAGAAAGCAGCAGTACTTGGTGTAACCAAGTTGCATCCCCAAGATAAGAGCAACCATTTTCAGATCTGCACAGATTCGCCATTTGTGTTGTTTGTATTCAATCTTGTTCAATAGAAATTTGATGTTATCGTGAGTTTCTTTCAAAGATCTGGAGTAACCAATGGGCACTGAGGGGTAGATATTCCCATTGTGAAGGAGTACGGTTTTCAAGCTACTGGAAGAAGCATCAATGAAGAGTCGCCAATGCTCTGGGTCATGTTCGACTCCTAGGCTCTTCATCAAGCCATTTACGTCATGACAGTATGCTAGACTTTGTTCATCACGGAAAAATTGGTTGAATTTCTCATTTCGACGGCGAAAATAAGTCGTACCTCAGAAAGCAAGAAATTGTGTTCTTTCATTCGTGATCCAAGGAATTCTGATTTTTCTTTTGTCAAACCCAAGCCTCTCACCAGATCATCCAGTTCGTTTTGATTCATCAATCGTGCAGCAAGAGGGGGTGACTCTGAGTCTGGGTATTCAGGATCACCAGGGATATCGGGGGGTGGTGGATGTTTTTCAACAATTTCTGCTTCTCCAGTTGGTACTGGAGGCACATCGTCATTTCCAAATGGGATAAATATTGAACAAGAGGAAGGAGAATCAACAGAACGGACATCTGGATACTTGATGTGGCATTTATTGTTCCTCGAGTATCCGTGCACATCCGTCAAACAGAAATAACAATCTGTAAGATGCTCGCTCTGTTCACGCCACGTAGCTGGGACATTAAATGTAAGCCTCAGTTTTTTTTTTTAACTGAACAAGAAAACTTAGAAAACTTGAGCCAAGGAGATCCTGTAGAAAATTTATCTATAGAATAAGTTTTATAGAATATTTTCAACTGAAGACTTCAATAGAATCGGCCAAACCTAATAGAAAGTTCAATAGAAATCCAATAGAATTGTTGGGCGAAATCGCTAGGTTTTGCTATAAAAATTTTTCATACGTGTAGAAGAAAAATTAAAATTTATGGATCGTACAGTGGTAATGTTTAGTAAATCGGCATTGAATCCTATTGATGTGGGAAAAAATGATAAAATTCCAACATTCATGAACTTTTTGAGCAGGCGAAAGACGAGAAATTCTCTGAATTTTTATCGAGTTTGAATTTTGCAGGCTGGAAAGAGTAAATGCTAACGAAGGGCGATGCATTTTATAAGAATATCCCGATAGTATCATGTGTGCCCATGTTATTAATTTTTCTGATGTTACTCTGTATTTGCTCTACACAATTTCCTGAAATCAAGATTCATGTTCTAAATGGATGATGCTGTCATGCAAAGTAACAACATTGAATTGAGATGGGTTAGGGGATTCTCCGAATAACTTCAGGTCAATCGTCATTCCTCTCAAAATATGATAAATATGATCATATTTTGGGATTTTTTTCCATGAAATTACTTGCATAATGAGAGGAAACTCCCCCCGGCTAAAAGATCAATGTTTTTTGTTTTTGTATAATTTTTCTCGAAGCAAATTCACTTCATTTTCATTTTTTTTTGCTACGAATGCTCCTTTGGGCCAATTTGCGACTTAATTGAGGAATTTCGCAGGCGTCGTTGGATTTAGCGTGAAGAAATCTTTAATTTCGTCCTTATTACATGCACGGCCTCGGAAAAGCTCAATTTTTGTCGGACAGTGTTATCTTTCGAACGTTATCTCGATTGTTTTTTCTATATTCCTGGCGATCCAGGAGCGATACGGTGTAGCGTCGTTGATTTTTATTGTCAATTTTGGGGCTAGTAAAGGGGAAATGACCCCTAAAAACATTATAAATGTTGATATATGAGGTATTTATTCATATTGGTCCCGTTAATTGCATTGTTATTTATCAATTGAATGAAATTATTTTTAGTGTTAAGAATGATGATAGAAGCTTATAGGGGGAATGCCGCGAGATGGCGGTAGCGTCAATTTCCCGCTCGGATCGGTAAAGTCGACAGTAGTCGTAAACCAGGCTGGTCTGAGCCGTCGTCTGCCGAGCTAGTTAACGGGCGTGCAATGTTGCCGCATGTTTTGTTATTTTATTTTAGGTGATCAAAAGTGCACAGAAGATAGGAATTGCATCGGATATATTTTCGTATGATTAACTTTAGATAATAATAATTATTTTCACATTGTTATAATTTATTTTATAACGTGTTTATTAAAGGGGGGGGGGCATGATAACACAGAGTTGCAAATTCTACCCAAGGGGAGGGGATTTCAAAATCTATCTGAGCCACCCCCCATTCCGCCCTTCGCATGCGTTAATTAAATAAATTAAAAAATTTCGTTAACTAAGATTTTACGAGGGGGTGAAAGAGGGAGATACAACGGCGGAGGTATTTACGGCAGGGTTGCCGAATCTGACTGAGCCCCCCCCCCCCATGCGTTGATGGAATAATAAAAAGTGTTAAATAAATAATGAAAATCGCGAAAATTGATAATTTACGAGGGGGTGCAGAGGGATGTATGATGGCGGAGGGTTGCAAAATTTACTCAAAAAGGGGAGGGGGTTTCAGAATCTAGCTGAGCCACCCCCATCCCTCCCCTAAAAAAATTGTTAAATAAAAAATGAAAATATCGAAAATTGAGACTTTGCAAGGGGGAGGGGGAGGTACAACGGCGGAGGATTGCAAATTTTAGCCAACTAGGGGAGGGGGTTCCTGAAACTGACTGAGCCACCACCATCCCTCTGTTCACATGCGTGATTTAAATAAATTAAAAAAATTTTAAATGAAAAATATAAATCTTTGTTAATTGAAATTTCACGAGTAGGTGGAAGGGGGAGGTATGATGGCGCAGGATTGCAAATTTTACCCAACACGAGGAGGGGGTTCCAGAATCTATCTGAGCCACCCTCCATACCTCCGTTCGCATGTATTAACTAAGTAAATTAAAAACTTCTTGAATAAAAAATTGAAATTTCGTTAATTAAGATTTCACGAAGGGGTGGAAGGGGGAGATACAACGGCGGAGGGTCGCAAATTTTATCCAACAAGGGGAGGGGGTTGTCGAATCTATAAATATAGATAATGAAAAGCGCGAAAATTGATAATTTACGAGGGGGTGAAAGGAGGTACGACGACGGAGGCTTACAAATTTAACTCAACAAGGGGAGGGGGTTTCAGAATTCATTTCAGCCACCCCCCATCCCTCCGTTAGCATGCGTTGATTGAACAAAAAAAAATTTTAATAGAAAAAGAAAATCTCGCAAATTGAGATTTTGCGAGGGGGCGGAAGGGGGAGGTACGACGACGGAGGGTTGCAAATTTTAGCCAACTATTAATTAAGCTTTCATGAGGGGGTGGAAGGGAGAGGTACGACGACGAAGGGTTGCAAATTTTACCCAACAAGGGGGGGGGCTCCCAAATCTGACTGAGCCACCCTCATACATTTATTTAAAAAAAAAAATTCTTTTAATCGTAAAAAAAATTCTCAAGTAAACAATGAAAATCGCGTAAATTGAGAATTTACGAGGGGCTGGAAGCGTGAGGTATGATGAGGGAGGATTGCAAATTTTACCCAACAAGGGAAGGGGATCCTCAAACTCACTGAGCTACCCCCATCCCTCTGTTTGCATGCGTTATTTAAATAAAATTAAAAATTTTTGAATAAAAATCAAAAATCGTTGTTAATTGAAATTTCACGAGAAGGTGGAAGGGAGAGTTATGATGGCACAAGGTTGCAAATTTTACTCAACAGGAGGAGGGGGTTCCAGAATCTATCTGAGTCACCCCCCATCCCTCCGTTCGCTTGGATTAATTACATAATTGAAAAAGTTCTTGAATAAAGAATGAAAGTTTCGTCAATTAAAATTTCACGAGGGGGTGGAAGGGGGAGGTACGACGACGGAATGTTGCCAATTTTACCCAACAACGAGAGGGGGTTCCCGAATCTGACTGAGCTACCCCCATACGTTGATTTAAAAAATTGTTAAAAAAAAATAAATAATGAAAATCGCGGCAATTGAGACTTTGGGAGGGGGTGGAAGGGAGAGGTGCGACGGCGGAGGGTTGCAAATTTTACCCAACAAGGGGAGGGGGTTTCAGAAACTCATCCGTTTTTTTATTAAATTCAAAAATTGTTGAATAAAAAATAAAAATCTTGTTAATTGAAATTGCACGAGGGGGTGGAAGGGGAAGGTATGATGGTGGAGGGTTGCAAATTTTACCCAAAGCGGGGAGGGGGTTCCAGAATATGTTTGGGCCACTCCCCATCCCTCCGTTAGCATGCGTTGATTGAATAAAAAAAATATATTAGGGCCGCGAGGGAGGAGGAGGGTTCAACTCTAACACTTTCTGATCCTCATATTCGGACTCTTACAATCTGACCCTTAGATGTTGATCCTTCTGATCCTCATATTTTTACCCATACCTTTTGACTCCTAGATTTTTACCCTCATTTCCTCTTCATTCAATTTTGGAACTTGTGAATTAAGGAAAATATACACATACATATAATAAGAACAGAACGAATCAATTTAAATTAATCTAAGCATGAAAACAGAATCAGAAAGAAAATAAAATAAAAGGAAATAGTATACATTAATCTAGCGATGGGCGCGAAGCGCCCGTTCGATAGTATTACAACCTAGGGGTAAAAATGTAAGGATCACAAGGGGACAAATTAATTGTTTATTGAATTACTAACTCAATAAGCCATTAATTTAATTCTTAAGCAAATTTATCTATCGACAAATTAATGAATGACTTAATTTATCGATTCATTAGTATAGTTTCAGGTAAGACTCTAACATGGTCTTACATTTTCGATCTTAATCGCTGCATCAATTTTATATTGTCAACCGATCTTTCATCTTACCGAACTTAAACCTACCTAGAGATTTTTAAATCAGACCCATTTTCAATCTTGAAGTTGTCATCTCAAAATTTAAGATCCGAACGGGACTCATGAATGATCTTAACGTTCCACCAGCATTCTTGAAGCGCCCGATGAGGGAATCGCTCATCGGCTTCTCGTAAGAATAGAGGCAAATATAGCCACAGGCGGCGCTATCCGGGGTTCAGCGTCACGAGTCCCATATCCGTAACATGTGGAAAATTTTGGCCGAACGGTAGAAACTTCTTTTTTTCTACTAAACCCTGATCGACAGACAACTTTTAGCACCACAAGAGTGAACTAGAAGAGTTACTTGTGGCATATAAAAAAAATTTAGCCAAATATTTTCACATTTAGTGTATATTTCTTATGAAGTAAGAATATGAAGTATATGAAGTATTTTTGTGAGGGAATCGCTCTTAGCGCGCCTACTGACGGGTTAAATTCCGTAAGATCCTATGTTAAGATCGGAAATTGGTCTGATTTTAAGACCGTTTATCGGACTTCTTGTCTTAAGTCTTAGTTTCAGACCGCTCGTAAGACCGGAGTTTTTACAGAGTTTTTACAGTGTTTTTACAGTTGGACCATTCTTCCGTTTACACGACGTATTAACTGATTCAAGGGACGTATGGATAGATAAATCTATTCATGTGCGTTAAATATTCATATATCACATGGGACGAAGCCCTTTCTAGAATGCTCCCATTCGTGCGACGTGGTTTCAAACCTAGGACATTATCTTATTATTGTTTCTTTTTTCTCAATTTACTCAGAAATGCATGAATGTGTGGTGAGCGGGTATGAAAAAAAAATCAGTCAATATTTACTTTCTATGTTATCAACTGTTGCGCCTGTTTTGCTGATAAATTAGCAATAGGCTTCCGAATAGGTTTGAATATGATACTCACTTCTGACCGGCATTTCTGGACTTTATTTCGGACCTACACTTTTCACCCTCATAACCCTGAATTTCAACTTTCATAAACCATAGCCGTGACCAGTATGTTCCTTATTTTCGACCCTCGTGACCATCATCTTTAGTTTCGACACTTGTGAACCTTGGTTTTACCCTTCGCAATCTATGGCTTTATAAACCTCACTAGAAGGGTCAAAATGAAGTCCGAATAAGGGTCAAAAATGGTGAAAAAGAGTCAAAACAAGGATCTGGATAGATCGGAGTGTCAGAAAGGGTCAGAGTAAGGTTCAGGAACGGTCACAATGAGGGTGATATGGAGGGCTTAGGGAGTTCGTATGGAGATTATATGGGTATGGGATTATATGGGTATTATATGGGTATATGGGTATCACATAAGGGTGATATGGTGGACATACGGCACTTATGTTAAGGTCATATGGAGGTCAGATAGGGGTAATATGGAGTTCTAGTCCATATACTATGACAGGTCCCGTATACATTTTTAGGTCCATTGAATTTTATCATTGGACTGTATGTTTTTGGGGTCCCTGAACACGAATGTGTAAACCATTTTTACGCGGTGTGGTCAGTTTTGTTGATTTATAACAATTTAATTGTTCATAACGCGATTTCGCGGAAATGGTTGGAGTTAGGCGAAAAAATTTCCAAGAAAAAATGTTCCTCGTCTAAAAATACGTACATTTTGTTTCTTTATTTTTATTCCTATCTCTCATAGTTATCGAGTTTTCACCTCTGAAACCATGTCGCGGAGGGCTGAAGGGCACGCCCGTAATCCTTCGCACATTTCACTCAGGTTACAATTGAAACAGTTGGGAATAAACGAAAATAGTTGACATAAAAAACGCTCCCTATTAAACAATACATAATTAGTCTCTTATAACATTTTTTCCTAACATTAACGGTTAACGAAATAATTTGATGGAAATGAGGAAAAACATCCCCAATTTCCAATTTTCAATTTGTCAAATTTTGAAAGGACGCATCTGCTAGACCGTTTTCTGATGAATAATTTTAATGATTAAGTTTTTTCTCTTTTCCGATTATTTACGACAATATTTGAACGAAAAGACGGCGAGGACTGCCTAAAACATCGCTAACAACATCACCCGCAATGTCCAATATATAACACTTTTAGGTCCCTTGAATTTGATCATTGGATTTCATGCTTTTTGGGTCCCTGAAAACGAATATGTAAACCAGTTTTGCGAGGCGTGGTTACTATTGTTTATGTATAATAATAATTTAATTATAATAATAATAATAATTCAATTGTTTATAACGCGACTTCACGGAGGCCGTCCAAGTTAGACAAAAAAATTTTAATAAAAAAATGCTCCTCGTCTGAAAATACATGTATTTTGGCTTATTATTTTTATTCCTATCTTTTATATACTATAGACTGTAAGAGATAGGAATGAAAATAATAAGGCAAAATACGTGTATTTTTTGTCATGACGGCCGTAGGCAGAGATTCACAGACGCGGAGCGAAGCGGAGCGTCCGTGAAACGCTGCCTTACGACCGGAATGACAAAATAATCTTTTAATGACGTTTACACATTTTCTCAAATTTAGATATCTTTTTTCACTTCTAACCGTCCACTCCCCAATTAAATTGAATCATTCAATTCGGTCTGTGTGATTGATGGGTTTGAACTAATTGGTCACGTTTTTTTTTCATTCGTTTTTGTTAGAACTCTGTGATTTGGATTGTGGACCACATGGACACTGTGTCGACAATGCCTGTGATTGCCTCTCTGGTTGGTCAGGTGAGCTCTGCAATCTGAAACAGTGCGATCCTCGTTGTAACGAGCATGGACAGTGTAAAAATGGTACATGCCTCTGTGTCACTGGATGGAATGGACGTCACTGTACCATGGAGGGCTGCCCGAATTCCTGCTCAGGTCATGGACAGTGTAGAGTTAATGTCGAAGCACAGTGGGAGTGTCGGTGTTACGATGGATGGGATGGAACAGATTGCAGTGTTTTATTGGAGCAAAATTGCAATGATGGCAAGGATAATGATAGAGGTAATTTTGGTTGTGCTATTACACCGATGTTTCTACCTCAGAATCTAACAAAAGGAACGAATTACAAACGATTTCAACTCTGAACATTTCGGAAAAGAAATTCTTCCATCCGCCGTCGCAATTATCAGAACTTGAAACTTTTTCCGTTATTACATGGATCAGAATAAATGAGTCTGAAACGAATTTGCAGTTTATTCCACCGTAGAAATGATAGAAATTATCCAAGACAGGTTTTCTAGTTAGAATTTTCATGTCCTGGACGGAAAATCTAGACATTTTTTCGAATAAATTCTTCTTCCTGGATAATTAAATAATAAATTCTTCTTTCTGGATAATTTTGCTCACAAATTTTCAAATATCATCTTCATTAAAAATGAAGAACTTTTCTTGTATTAAAAATGAATTCAAGAAAATATCAAAATAAATTATAAATAATTGTAGATGGCCTCATCGACTGTGCTGACCCCGAATGTTGTGCAAATCATGCCTGCAAAGGTAGTCAGCTTTGCGTCTCAGCTCCTAAACCAATTGACATTCTTCTCCGTAAACAACCACCAGCAATAACTGCGTCCTTCTTCGAACGCATGAAATTTTTAATCGACGAGGGAAGTCTCCAGAACTACGCACGTCAAGAAACCTTTAACGAGAGGTAAGCTTCACTTGTGATCTTCACTCTAAATATTAGTATTTGAACCATTGAAAATAAACCATGATGTTGAATATCTTAATCGAAATATTCGTTCGTCCTGATATCAATCATTTGCGTGCAGTTACGTCTATTAAATATTGAGACGATGTTAAAAGTGTTGATTGTTCTATATTAATCGAAAATACACTTAACAAGTTTGGTAACACGTAATTAATCATGTAATGTCTCCTATTCGATTGTTCAACACTTGTTTGTCTTAAATCGATAACACGTATCACATTGAGACGATACAACAAGGAAAGGAATGGAAAGGATAACTTTAACTAATCATTTTACAAATCTACATGCGTTGTTGTGACCCATGTTTCAATCACATCCCAACAGTTTTGTACATATGTTTTTGTATATATGTGTGGCGCGAGAGTGTTGACCCGCACCTAACCATCCCCCTTACCCATCTTTAAACATTTTTTTACTCTCATTATTTTCTCTTATTTTTTCTTCCTTTTGACCTTTATCTCATGTTTTTCAACGAAGGCAACATATACATACATTATTTTTTAATTTAATTCTATTGTCCGTTCGAGTGAAGCTTGCGTGAATGTACAATAAATTTCGCGCTTTTTTTGTGATTAAGAACACATCAGGGTGATGAAGAACTATTCAGGAAATAGGATTTTTTTAACAGAGAAATGCTTCCTGCTGTTGTTCAAAAAATTTAGGTATTTAATAATTTATCATTTCGAGATTAAGTGAATTATATTCACGAACGAATAATAGATTCATTGGCTACTGAAGCAATGCTCATTAGTTTTTCATAAAATATCATTCATAATTCGATATTAATAACCAAGAATTGGAAAAACCTCTCCAATCTTCCATTCATACAATTGAATAATTCAGATTGATGGAGTATTCATTCAGTAAAGTAATAGAAATGAGAGAAGTGTGAAATGAAACGAGTTTATTCGATAGAACGAAGCATTGCTCTCGGTGTAGTTACCCTCTGTTGAAACCCGCCCATTATTTTGAATTGATTATTTTGTCGAATTAAAAAAAAAAAAAAAAGAAATGAATGAAAAAAAAAACACATTTTAACTGGGCTCTGTTTTATCCGTGCTGCTCGGTCAGTGTGTTCTGGAATCACTTCAATACAAGGTAAGAAAACCGTCGATGATACGGTGGGAATGAGTGCAAAAGAGCTCGTAGTTTTTTTAATTGGAAAGCGTCAAGGGTTTTTCGTTTTTGAATTTTCTGTATTCTTTTCAATTTGTTGAGGCGACGACGTCAGTTCGCTTATTGCATTATTTACTCGATTTTCCTGCATCCAAGTGATAAAGAAAAACATTTTCTCTGAAAGTGAAATACGTATGATTAGGTCGTATGTGTGCGTATATGTGTTTGTAAAGAAGTGAGAGAAATGAATTAGATCTTTTTTTTCTCTCATTTTCACGTTTTTCACTTTCTGTGTGGCATGACTCTGTGTCTATCGTCATTTTGTTGAGTTAAATGAATTAAAAATGAATTGTGAATTTTTTTTGGAAGTGAGAATTTCCTTAATTAATGACGAGGATATGAGTCCTGTTCGTTTCACGTATCGTCTGGTCATTGTTTACACACTTAATCGTTGCATGGTTTAGTTACTTTATGATTCCTACGTTGTGTTTCGTGACGTTTTATGTTGAGCTTCATATACTTTGTGTTAATCGTGTATATGATACATCAAATTAGGATGATAATAATTCGTGTATCGTCTTTGACACCAACAAAAAATTTTCTAAAGCGAGAAATATTTTTCTAAAACTGTAATTCAATATTTAGTACTGATTTTATTGGTAATATAAAATTGAAGAATCAATTGGAGTTGCGAAATTTTTTAAGAAAAATAATTAGATTTCGCTTATTTCGTGCTTATTTATTGCGCACAACGAGAAAGTAGTTTCATTTATTTTTCTTGGTTAAAAGCAAATTCATTGGTGGAAAAAGAAAACTCAAACAATTCATATAACTCAATTCTCCTTTTAATAGTCGATCGGCAGTTGTACGTGGACGTGTGGTAACGTCACTTGGAACTGGTTTGATGGGTGTGCGAGTCAGTACCAGTACACCACTCGAAGGTTTCACCCTGACAAGGGACGACGGCTGGTTCGATCTGCTCGTAAATGGCGGTGGTGCTGTCACACTTCAATTTGGAAGATCGCCATTCAAACCACAGACCCACATAGTGTTCGTACCATGGAACGAGGTAATTCAATCATCCCAAATGGAGGAGTAGAAAAATTTTGAAAAAAAAACATCTCAACTTTCTTTTTCTGTAAATTCGGAACGAATTTATGTGAATTGGTATCCCATCATTTTTTTTCAAGTTCATGGAAACCTGGACATATAAATTTTTTTCGAAGTTGATACTGATAGATAGTTCTTCGATAGCAATTTTCCCCAATTAATTAAAATGAATTCCTCTCTTGTAGGTTGTTATAATCGACAGAATCGTCATGAGTACAGTGGATGAAAAACCTCCGATCCACGTTCCTCACGCCTGCGCAGCGCATGACTACGATCAGATGAAGCCAGTAGTCCTTGCAACCTGGAAGCACGGTTTCCAGGGCGCCTGCCCCGAAAAATCTGCAATCCTTGCAGAATCTCAAGTAGTCCAGGAGAGCCTCCAGATTCCCGGAACCGGTCTCAATCTCGTGTACCACAGTTCCAGAGCAACTGGCTATCTCTCCACCATTCAACTCCAACTTACTCCAGAATCGATCCCCTCAACGCTCAACCTCATCCACCTCAGAATAACCATCGAAGGGATCCTCTTTGAGAAGACCTTTGAGGCTGACCCTGTCATCAAGTTCACCTACGCCTGGAATCGCCTCAATGTCTACCGCCAAAGAGTTTACGGAGTGACAACGGCAATGGTCAAAGTAGGCTACGAGTACAGTGACTGCAAGGACATAATCTGGGACGTTCAAACTACCAAACTCAGTGGTCACGACATGTCAATCTCCGAGGTGGGAGGTTGGAACCTGGACATTCACCACCGCTACAACTTTCATGAAGGAATCCTCCAGAAAGGCGATGGCTCCAATATTTACTTGAAACACAAGCCCCGAGTGATACTGACGACAATGGGAGATGGACACCAAAGACCCCTAGACTGCTACGACTGTGACGGTCAAGCCTCCAAGCAACGTCTCCTCGCTCCAGTAGCCTTAGCAGCCTCTCCAGACGGTTCGATCTTCGTTGGAGACTTCAACCTCATCCGAAAAGTTCTCGTCGATGGTACAGTACGAACAGTCGTCAGACTAAATGCCACAAGAGTCTCCTACAGGTACCACATCGCCCTGAGCCCCTTGGACGGTGTTCTCTACATCTCAGACCCCGAGTCCCACCAAATCATCCGCGTTCGTGACACAAATGATTACTCAGACCCAGATCACAACTGGGAGGCGGTAGTTGGCTCCGGAGAACGCTGCCTTCCCGGTGATGAAGCTCACTGTGGAGACGGTGCTCTCGCTCGTGATGCCAAACTGGCTTATCCAAAGGGTGTAGCTGTCTCAGCAGACAACGTCCTCTACTTTGCTGATGGCACAAACATCCGCATGGTAGACAGAGACGGAATCATTACCACAGTCATTGGTAATCATATGCACAAGTCCCACTGGAAGCCAATCCCATGTGAGGGAACGCTCAATGTCGAAGAGGTTCATTTGCGCTGGCCCACAGAGCTAGCCATCAACCCCCTCGACAATTCTCTTCACATGATTGACGATCACATGGTGCTGCAATTGGCACCTGATGGAAGGGTTAAGGTCGTTGCTGGACGACCTCTTCACTGTGCTAGCCCATCAGCAAGCTTTGACACTGAGCTCGCTACACATGCTACATTAGTTATGCCCCAGAGTATCGCGTTTGGACCCTCTGGAAATCTCTTCATCGCCGAAAGCGACTCTCAGAGGATCAACAGAGTCAGAGTCATCGGGACTGACGGCAAGATCTCACCTTATGCAGGAGCTGAATCTAAATGCAATTGTTTGGAACGAGGGTGTGATTGTTTCGAAGCAGATCATTATCTTGCATCCACCGCTAAATTCAACACCATCTCGGCGGTAGCTGTATCTCCGGATGGAGTTGTCCACATTGGTGACCAGGCCAACTACAGGATTCGATCGGTTATGGCTAGCATTCCAGATGCTAATGGAGCACGAGAGTACGAAATCTACTCCCCTGACACCCAAGAAATTTACGTATTCAATCGTTTCGGTCAGCACATTGCCACCAAGAATATTCTCACTGGTGAAACTTGCTACTTGTTTACTTACAATGTTAACACAAGTAATGGGAAACTCAGTACTGTTACTGACGCCTCTGGAAATAAGATCTTCCTCCTGAGGGATTACAGCTCCCAAGTAAACTCTATCGAAAATACCAAGGGACAGAAGTGTAGACTCAGAATGTCGAGAATGAAGATGCTCCATGAGTTGAGCACGCCAGACAATTACAACGTTACTTTTGATTACCACGGACCCACTGGACTTCTGAAAACCAAATTAGACAGTACTGGAAGAAGTTACGTCTACAATTATGATGAATTTGGACGGCTAACGTCAGCGGTTACCCCAACTGGTAAAGTAATTGGTCTTACATTTGACCTGAGTCTCAAAGGAGCCACTGTCAAGGTGGGGCAGAACAACAGGAAGCCAGTATCAATGTTGATCAAGGGATCTTCGGTTGTAACGAAGGTTGGTGAGGCTGAACAGAGGACAACAGTATCTGGTGATGGTTCAGTTGGTCGAGTGACTCCCTGGGCGCATACAGTTAGCACCGACACTCTTCCTTACGCCATTCTTGCTGAGATCGAGCCCCTTCTTGGGGAAAGCTATCCAGTTCCTGCTAAACAACGAACTGAAATAGCTGGAGATCTCGCCAATAGGTTCGAGTGGAGATACTTCTTGAGAAAAGTCCAGGGGAAAAACAGAGGGAACGCGAAGGCAGTGGCTCAGGTTGGAAGGAAGCTTCGAGTTAATGGAGACGTTTTATTGTCTCTCGAGTACGACAGAGAAACCAATACTGTTGCTGTCTTCATTGATGACCGAGTCGAGCTGCTCAATGTCACTTATGACAGAAACGCCAGGCCCCTGAAGTGGGGGCCTAGAAATGGAATTTTCGCAGGTGTTGATTTAGAATACGACAGATTCAGTAGATTGACTAAGTGGACTAGAGGAGACATCAGTGAGACTTACGGCTTCGATCGAGCTGGAAGACTATACGAGATTAAATACAGCGATGGAACGTCCATGGTCTATGCTTTCAAGGATATGTTCAGTTCTTTACCGTTAAAGGTTACCACTCCACGAGGAAGTGATTATCTCCTTCAGTATGACGAAGCTGGTGCTCTTCAATCTTTGACGACTCCTAGAGGCCATATCCATGCGTTCTCTCTCCAAACATCTCTTGGATTCTATAAGTATCAGTATTATTCACCAATGAACAGACATCCTTATGAGATTTTGTATAATGATGATGGACAAATCCTTGCTAAAGTGTATCCACATCAAAGTGGAAAGGTTGCTTATGTTTACGACCATGCAGGCAAGTTGGAAACAACTCTTGCTGGACTTTCGTCGATCCATTACACTTATCAAGAGACAACTAGTCTTGTCAGGAGTATTGACATCAATGAACCCAATTTCGAGATGAGGATTGAGTACAAATATCATGCTGGTATCGTAAAAGACGAGAAAATTAAGTTTGGAAGTAAAAGTGGAATGGATAACGCTCACTATCGTTATCAGTACGATGGAAATGCAAGAATTTCTGGCATCGAGGTCGATATCAATGGAAAGCAACTGCCCCAGCTTCGTCTCAAGTACAATCAAAACCTTGGTATTCTTGAGGGTGTGGGAGACTTGAGGATTTATAGAAACTTGTTCAATCGATCTGTGATGCAGGACAGTAGTAAACAATTTTTCACGATTACTGATTACGACGAGTATGGCCGAGTTAAGTCGATTCTGACAAATATTGGAACTATGGATGTCTTCAGGATGGAACTGGAGTACGACAATAGAAACAGAATAAAAATGAGAAAGCTCATTATTGGAAAGGATTCAATGGATAAAAAGGAGTGGTCCAGGATGGATAAGATTACTTACAATGCTGATGGACATGTGCTCGAGGTAGCTGATACTGATAATAACTGGCAGTATGCGTATGATGAAAATGGCAATGTTATTGGGGTCACTGAGCACAATGAAAAAATCACCCTTGGGTACGACAGTGGAGACAGGGTTGTTCAGTATGGAGATGTCGAGTTCAACTCTTATGATAGCAGGGGATTCGTTGTTATTCGTGGAGAACATAAATACAGGTAATTATTACATTTTTGATTAAGAGAAAAGCTTTTTGCTTCCGAATGGAAGCTTTGTAATCGTGAGTTTTTTAGATTTCCTAATTTTGGGTGGAAATGCCTAGAAATGTTATGAAACATGAAGAAATCATGTTTTTTAAAAATGTCTGTAAAAAATCTGTGTAGGTATGGGAGTGCACATGTGTGTTCTTATGTCCAGAACTGTCCCCATAACTCGAGAATTATTAAGGCAAAGATGCTGAAATTCTGACTGCTAATTGGTACTACTGAGACTCAAATTTATGCTAAATTTCAGCTCGATCGGTTGAGCGGTTCCTGAGATATAGCGATTCTTCGAAAAGCGTTTTTTGCCGATATCTCCTGAGCCATTCGACCGATTCGATTTTTTTTTCAAAATACTCATCATTATGATACCTATTTAATTGGATTGAAAAAAGACCATTACACCCTGAGCAATGTAGTTTTATTCTCGTTTTGTCATTTTTTCGTTGAAATTGCTTGTTCGCACGAGTAATTGAAAAATAATCGAGATAGAAACTTGAAACTTGATATGATTTTAGGTTTTATGGCAATAAAATTTGGGATTCTGGATGAACGAAATCGGACCAGTAGTTTCGGAGATATTCAACTTTGTATGTGAAACTCTTTTGCTCAATATCTCAAAAATCATTGGTCCGGTTTCAATTTTTTTTCTTTCAAAATGTGCTTTTTGATGTCATATATCTAGATCCAACAAAATATGAGTACCATCTCATTGAAATTTTTCGAGATATCGTCGTTATTCTATTCTTTTGGTCGGAATTCACTTTTGTGCACTATGGGATGGGTAAAAGTCAGGGAAACCTTTTGAAACTTTGGCTTGTAGTTAGGATTGTCAAGGAGCATTCCTATATAAAATTTCAAGTCGATATATTTGATAGTTCTTGAGATGGAACAATTCACCGAAAATTCTTGAGGAACAAAAAATTCCATTTTTGTCATGAAGTATGAGTGGCATTGACCTTAATGTTTTCAAAAAATGGTAATCCTTATGCCGTCATTTTTTGAAAACATACAATGGGATCCATTCGGAAGCCTACTACCACTGAAATTGGTAGAAATGAAAATAAGAGAAAAAAAAAAATGTGGAAAGTAGCAGTCATATGTAATCTGTCAAATGGCTTCCGTCGCGCTGCTTGTTTTCTATTTTATTGAAACTAATATACTAGGATGGAAAACATTGAAATCAATTGTTATCATGTACTTTTGCAGATACAACTCACGAGGACAGCTGATCCACGCCTCTGAGCACAAAAAGTTCCAAATTTGGTATTTCTACGACGATCGTGGTCGCCTAGTGTCTTGGAATGACGACCGTGAAAATATCACTCAGTTTTTCTATGCAAATCCGAAGACCCCAGACCTCATCACCCACGTGCACTTCGCTAAGGCTGGCAAAACTTTCCGCTTCCTCTATGACTCTCGCAATTTCCTGATGACCGTCGAGACCTTTGAACAACGTTTCTACGTAGCCACAGACCAGAATGGCTCTCCCCTTGCTCTCTTCGACACCAATGGCAATCTGATGAAGGAGATGCGAAGAACACCGTTCGGCAAAATCATCAAGGACACCAATCCAGATTTTTACCTGCCCATTGACTTCCATGGCGGTCTCTTTGATCCAAACACGAAATTAATTTACCTCAATAAGAGATTGTACGATCCAACAGTCGGCCAATGGATGACACCAGCCTGGGAGCAGATGGCGAATGAATTGACAACTCCAATGGATATCTTTATCTACAGATTCCGAAACAACGACCCAATAAACCTCAGGCAAAATGTTGAATACATGACAGACATGAACAGCTGGTTAAAGCTCTACGGGTATGACATCCCCTCGATGCTCGGCTCCGAGTACACCAAAGCAATGGTTTATCAGCCCAGTGCGACTATCACATCGCCCCAACTAACCCCAGACTTCGGAGTAATGTCAGGTCTTCAATGCATTGTCAACAGAGTCCACGAGAAATTCTCAGATCTTGATTTTGTTCCAAAACCTCTCCTCAAGCTCGAGCCGAAAACGAGAAATCTCCTTCCTCGAGTTGCCCATCGTCGAGCGGTCTTCGGAGAAGGTATCCTAGTCTCCAGAGTGGGAGGACGAGCTCTTGTCAGCGTTGTAGATGGTGTCAATAGCGTAGTTCAAGATGTTGTTACCTCGGTCTTTAATAATTCGTACTTTTTACCTCTTCACTTCAGCGTTCACGATCAGGATGTCTTCTACTTCGTGAAAGATAATACTTTGAAGATGAGAGACGATATGGAAGAGTTGAAGAGACTCGGTGGTATGTTCAATGTTTCAACTCATGAAACAACAGAACATGGCTCAGGGACTTACAAAGAACTGAGACTCCATAATCCAGATGCTGCAGTTGTAATTAAATACGGTGCAGACCCTGAACAAGAGCGTCACAGAATTCTCAAGCATGCACATAAAAGGGCAGTGGAAAGAGCGTGGGAGATAGAAAAGCAATTAGTAATGGCAGGATTTCAAGGAAGAGGCGACTGGTCCAAAGAGGAAAAAGACGAGCTTATTGCCAGGGGTACAGTGGACGGTTACGAAGGCGTAGACATCCACAGTGTCCATAGGTATCCACAGCTCGCCGATGATCCCGGCAATGTCGCATTCACTCGCGACACAAAACGAAAACGACGAAAGAGTGGCAACAGAAGAAACAGAAATCACAGGCACGACTCGTGATGAGATACTAATTAAAGAATTGTGTTTTTTTATATATATATATAATTAATAATGAAATAAATTAATATAAACTCTTCAACGTGTGACAATTTGGTGCCATACGATGAGTCTAAAGAGCAACGGTAATGATACAGTGATCCGTGAAGTGTCAAAATTAAGCTAGTCGCATTTTATTAAACGAAAATATAAAGCTTGTTAAAATGAGGTGATTATTTTATTGAGTATAATGATGATGCTGAATAAGAAAAACAATGAGAAAGAACTGTAAAGTGATTTGGCGTTCTGCGCTGTGCGTTGTAGACTTTCTAAGGTTTTTTGTACCCTCAAGAATAATGAAGGGAGTAATGATATTTGTATAAATTAATGGAAGATTAATGATCCAGTCGAATGTTTGCTCCGAACTCTATAGTGTATGTCGGTGAACATCAATCGGGTTTGGCTCAATGCATCAACAGGGTCTTAATTAAAAATGGACACGAGAGCCCATCGTCCAAGACGTGTTCGTTGAACAATTAAAGAAAAAAAAAAGATAGAGATAAAGTAAACGAGACGTCGCTTTTAGGTTCTCGCCGATTGTTATTAAAGAAAGATGATGGAGAATTTGAATAATGGAAAAAAAAAGAGGGAAATGCAAGTATAATACCTACAGATATTTTTAACATACCGTAAAATCCATTTTTTTTTCTTTAACAAAGAAATTGTACATATGGCTAAGTCGATTAATGGTGAATGTAGATAGTATTATTATAAGGAGAAAAGCATAAACACTGTTCACCGACGCCTGAGATTGGGGAATAATCGAGCGCCGCTTTTTTATATGTATACACGTAAACTGAATGAATTAACACAAATGGGCTAAATACGCTCGGGACATGTTTTCAATAAATAGTGAAAATAAAAGTGAACATTAAACAATGCAACATTGGAATGAGTAACAGTTTCTTTATATGTCGTAGGCACTTGTATATAGTTAATTAGGTTTAAACGAGTGTTGTTGTGTCCGAATGACTATAAGAAGACGAATGATAAAAATGAATTATTATACAAACGGATCAAACTGAACGTTTTAAAAGTGAATACACAGAGCCGAAAATGATGAGTTAGTGAAGAATGAAAGATAATCGATGTCCAAGATTTATTGTAACGTGATGCAAATAAAAATGTATGAGAGATTAACAAACATAAATGCCCCGCCTATCTTTCTACTGATAAATAAATAAAAAAAACATAAGTGAAGAGTTATTTTTTGAATTGTCGAAGAGGTCCTATTTAGTCAAAGGAAAGAAAAACGAGAAAATATATGTCATGAAGGAGTTGATGAAAAATAAGTTCCCTCTCGCCTAAAGCACAAAAAGCTAATGAACAAAATTAATCTGCATTGGAATGCTAAAACTTGATGGAAAATTCGGAAGTGACACCTTTTTCAAGCAGATAATTATTTCTGAAATGAAGTAAATGAGCAGCGCTTTGTTCTCAAAGTAAATCCATGCTTATAAATTGAAATTTATTGACTCATCTTTATGTTTTACCATTCCAATAAAGAAATACAAGACTTAATAATGAGAAAAACATCAGTAATCATCGATGTTAAAAGTATTGGAAGTAGAAAAACCTCAGCGGGATGATGAGGAAAATAAAACATGAAATTAAGCAATAGAAAGTATAAACAGAAAAGTGTATATGTATAAAGTTAGGGAGAGTACATATATGTATAGGGATGCCGCGAGCCGACGTACACGCAGAGCCACCATGGCTCCACCGCGTCGTGTTCTACGTAGGTGTATAAAGTGGAAAAAATCAGAAAAAAATGAAACATTTTGAAATTAATACAAAACCAGTAATAAACACATAATCATAAACTGCAGAACGTTACGTGAATAGTTGACAAATTATTGATGATAATAAGGGCACGGCGCAAAACATTGACAGGTATTTAAACCATTGTTTGCTGTATATGTATATTTATGTATAGCTGGAAATCATATTATTTCACAGACTGAAGTAGTTTTCAGAGTGAACCTAGCCATTTTCATACTTTTTCATGATCATTTGTCAATGAAAACATTTCGTTTTTGACTGAATTACGATGGAAATTGGGCCTCGCCTTGGCTACTAAATGATTTTCCTCCAAATTTATTAATTCGAAAAAAAATTCAACTGATATAAGATGAGGTAACAAAAAACTATATACTGCAGCCAAACGTGTTGCAAATACGCTTTGGAGGATCAAAAATTCTCAAGAAAAAAATTGAAAATGACTTGCACTGTATATGGCTATCATTTTCTACCTTTGTTGACGTCATAAAGTTAAATTTCTCAATAATTAGTTGAACTGAATACGTAAAGGGAGAGAGAAAAAGCTAAAAAAAATATTCAAGGGGGAAAAATCAATATGTTGTACGCGGCTCCCGATTCCCTCATGGGTTTTATTATCATCCCTAGTGAGTCTGTGTTTAATTGTAAATTTTTCACTTATTTTTATAGTTCATTGCAAATGAAAGAACGAATTTTTTGAATGAGTTGTGATTTCAAAGAATCACACAAATGATATTTCGTTATGTTTATAATCGTATGAGCATCAAACTAATGAGGGAAGAATGAAGAAATTAATTCTGCAATCGTCTGCGTGGTTCGAGTACGCTGGTCGCGTGATGAAATAGTCCAATAGTAGCAAGGAAAGGAAGGCAATTAGCATGAATGAAAGTGAGAAATTAATTTACATATATTAATATATGCAATTATGTACTCGAAACGGGAGCCGAGGGATGGAAAATTACGAAATTAATATGTGAATCGAAATGCTCGGCCAGTGGAACTGATTGTTTTTTTTTTTATCACTTTCAATTTAAAATCTTTACGCAACAGTAGAATGCGTAGACTACACTATTTTTTGTACATAATTTAATCAATTGTAATAATTTGGTTTTAAGTATTAAATTTCGTAACACTGAATACTAATCGTTATAACGGAAAATGAAATGAATCGATTCACCTGATGTTTTCGTATTGTTTTTACAAGAAATATAATCGTGAGCAACTTCGCAAAGATTTGAAATTAAATGATGAATATCACCGGTTCTTATAAGCCATAATGTAAAGGAAACTTAGAATTAAATCTTGTAAATAAACAATTATGATTATGTAAATAACATTCATAAGCCATGGAAAACCACCACAAATGATGAACACGGTACACAATTAAACGAGGTTTATTTTAAAGAACAACCAAAATGAGAAAAAATCCATCATTATATTACTATGTAATGATATTCAATAAGTATATACATATTCGATACTCTTAAACGCTAAGTACTCAATAAATATATCTATAAAATGTCCCAGTGTTTGTGATTGTTGAGAATACCCTGCTCCGTATCCTTATTAATCCTATCATAACGTGATGTCTCGATTTATCCACCAATGAAATTATGTCGTCTTTAGTGTTTATAAGAGAGTTGAAAAGTCATTGTTTAATTATTTTTTCTATGAATAAATATAGAGAAAAGAAAATTGTTTTTATGATTAGGATGAATGGAAATGATAAATTTTTAACGGAATTCGTTATTGCTAGTCCGCGAACTTGCAACTGGCTATTGCCCGAGGGCCTTCAGCCAGGTATTTATAAAGTAGTATAGACATTAGAAAACCGAGTGGAAATATAGTTATGGTTTGACAATAAGAAAATAGATAGTAAGAAAAAAATTATAAAATGTAGAGAAGTGGTATTACATGGTTGAGAATGATATAAGAGTGGTACAACATGAAACGATGCTTTGGTGAGAGAGAGAGAGTACAGAATCTACTGGTTGGAGGTGAACTAGACCTCCCCAGGCGTCAGAGCCGAATGTCTCAGTTCGAATGGCCTTAAGATTTTCGTGCGGGGGATATTTATAACGTGACATAATATAGGGGTTGCGCTTGTGACAGAGGTCGAGAATATGGTCCAGCTTATTAAGGACGAAGTTTGTTGTCAGTTTGTCAAATCTGTTAGTAATAGGTTCGATTTCTGTGCGTGCGTAAAGTAGTTTGTTCGAGGGATTGTGAAGAGGGTTGTCGGGATGGTGAATTTTTACGGAGTGTGGTTGGTTCAGCTACGCTTATTATTTTCTTGGTACCGGGTCGCGAGAAGAGGAGCAGGGGGTGGGCATAGTCCAATATTGGTCGACATATAGCCTTGTAAATTTTAATGATGTGACGGGTATTAAGGCCTTTGTCCTTATAAGAAAGTCCCCGGAATTTTGGGCCTCTAGCGATGCATCTTTTTTTGACAATATTGGCATGAGATTTGAAGTTAAGGTTATAGTCGACTTCAATCCCGAGATATCTGATGTGAGGACCGGGGGATATAGTAGTGTTTTGGAGTATGATTTTGGAAGAGGAGTTTTTACCGTTCATGAGAGCTTTCTTATATTCGCCGGAAGAGATGGGGGGAATGTTTTCGGGAGGAAGATTTGGGTGAGAGGTGAGGGATTTGTTGTTGGAGATTATTTCAGGGATCGTTGTTTCAGGTCTGTATCTCTTGAGTTTCCTAATAGAAAATCAATATTCCTTATCCTGTTTACGCTGAATTTCTTTGCACACCTTTAGTCATTGATAGGCCCTGAACTCCTGGGAAAGTTTGTAAATATTTTTGTTTAATGCATTGATTTCAGCTTTGATTTTTTTGTTTGCTTCTAAGGTGTTGCGTGGTTTATTCGATTGGTATATTCTGTACTTCCTCCTTTTAGTTTTGATGAGATGGATGATAAACGGCGGCAGGGTGTAGTTGAAAAAATTGTATTTAATGGTTGGAGTATGTTTGAGAATCGTTTGCGAGAGGAGAGTGTTGAAAGCCTTGTTTTCGGCGTTAACCGCTGGTTGGTCCCGAATGAACTGCAGAACTTCGGCGTTGACTTTTTCCATATCCGTTTTATTGAAGTTGTACAGGGGTAGATGATGTTCGGTGATCTGAAGAATGGGGTCTAGCAAGCTAAAGCTACTGACGGATAGCTTTATTGCTAAGTGATCCGAGCCCAGATCCGGGACGAATTCGATTCTACTGATTCTGTTGCGAATTTTTTTGGTGTAGAAGAGTAGATCGGGTGTAGTGTCTTCGTTCATTGGCATGATAAACGTTGGGTCCTTATGAAGTTGGACATACTGTCCCATTAACAAGAAATCTTTGATCTGTCTATTTTTACGTCTGTTCGGGTTGAAATCTCCAATGATAATAGCATATTTACAGCGTGTTGCCATGATAAACAGGGAGTTCTCTAATTTTGCTGTGTGATGTGAGTAAACCACAAAAGATGTGAAGAGGTTCATCGCTGAACGCAAGAGAGAAATAGAGAATTTCGTTTAAATGATGTGTAATGGTCGGAGCATTCTGTTTTTGTAGTTAGAGATTCGGGTGTACTTGAACGAGAGAACCTCCTTTGGTGTTTCCCGTGATTATTTCTCCTATTTTACCCATTGAGAACCAATACCTGTACTTGACATTTGTGTCTATGTTGATTTTTGCTTCAACGAATAGATTGCAATTGATATTATTTTCAACGAAATGGTTTATCAGAAGTTTCTTATGGAAGTAGCTATTGATGTTCGAATATAAAATGTTAATGTCCTCCATTTTCGATTATTATACTTCTGCCGGTGGAGGGTTCAGTGGGTGAAGCGGCTTCTGGATCGTCAAGGTTGAATACCAAAATGTATACTTTGTTTCCTGAGAAGACAGCCGCTGTGGCGATCCTGAAGGTGTCTATGAAACGTCTCTTGAGTTTGGCGATGAGTGCTTCTCTATTGGTATTTTTAGGGTTGTTGATTTTATTGATGTAGATGTTGATAATGAAATCGTGGGTGGTGATGGATGCGTAGATTGGATTGGATTTGGTGATGGTTTTGTCGAGTTTGGAGGATTTTTTGTTGATGGATTTGATAGGAGCATTTGGGACACCGTCCACCGGGCCGGTTAGTCTGTTGGGGCATTTGAATGATCAGGCAGCATGTTCAGTGGAGTTGCAGGAGCTGCATTTAACGGCCAGTTCACTTTTGCATGAGCTGGTGGTATGCTCGCCTTGGCACTTCTGGCATGTCCATTTGTTTGGACACTCTGAGTTAGTGTGGGTGAATTTCGTGCATTTATTGCACAGTGAAGGAGCTGAAGGTGCTCGATCTTGTTTGTGTTGGATTTAAGGAGAAAACCCTGTCTCGTCTGGATGATAACATCATTGTTGTTGTAGTTGACTGAGTTCCAAAGCCTTGCGAACTCAATGCGGCTGATGCTGGTGGTTTTGATGTAGAATAGATTGGTGAACGGCTTGTGGATGATTTATTGAAATCGTTTGGAGGAGTTGAAGGATTTTTTATTCTGAGAAGTGTGGTTGGATGTGGAAGGATGCGAGTTGGTGGTTATTGGGGAGGTCGAGAGTGTAGATCGTGGAGTGGTTTTCTCATCGGTTTCCACGTCACCAGCCAGGCTGGATGAGGGACTGGATTGTTTACCTCCACCTTTCCTTGTTTTTCTCCTTTTCCTGGGGAGAGAATCTAGACTACCTCCAGAATTCTCCCCAGTTTCGTAGTCAGTGGGTTTTTTAACCGTCTTCCCTTTATTCTTCATAATACACTTCACTAATACACTTGGCCGAGAATTAATTTGGATGTCGGTGTGTTTACACGAGCACGGTAGCGAGTTGTTGACACCTCAACTCTCGAATGCAACAGAAATTACTAATTTTGTTGTACTTGCATGATTTTTTCCGGCCACAATCAATTGCATACGTGAGCTATCAGGCACTGAGGGGTATTGGCCTCAAACCGAGTGATATTAGCCACACTGGCTCAGCAGTATTGACAACATCACCGGAATTTCGGAGAACCATTTCTAATTATTAATTAAAAGACGAGAAAAAGTAGATTTCGATGTCAAATTATGTGAAAAAGAATTACAAAACGCCTAATTATAATTTAATGTGATGATAATGTTATTAATATAGTTAAAAACCGTACGTACTGGTCCAGAAAAATTCTATCGTACAGCCCCAAAAATCCTGGGGTGGTATTTTTGTTATTTAAAGGGGTCATAAAGCGAAAATTTTCATGAGAATTACATATTGATAGTAGAGTTCTCAGATTGAGTGGGAGACACTGCAGAAAAAGTACGTGGTTATTTAGAAAATCAGGTGAGCGATATTGGTTGCTGAGCGGTACAGGCATCGTCTCCCCTACCAATTAGGAGTCAGAAATTCAGTGTCTTTTGGGTAAGTATTCTAGAATCATTAACACAGCTCTGGATATACGCACACATATCCACACATGTATACTGTCCTGGTGAAAAAAATCTATAATATCTTATTAAGAAAAAATATGTAAGAATTATAAGTGGTTAACTTCCAAACCCAATTGATTCCTATACATTTTTGTCCCCGTTATGGATCACCTTTTTAGTTGAATTACTAGTAGTAGTAAGATTCTTCTTGATTCTCATTATTTGTTGGGCCGGGGATGGGAGAATTGGTTAGTGGAATGAGAATAAACGAGAAAATAATCATTTTCTTATTATAGCGTCGCGTATGATTAGGAAAGCGTGAATTGGAACAGGATGGGTTGAGAATTCTATAGATTCCGATAGTGATTTTTGTTTCACGCTTGGAGGATGTGGTGAGTGCAATGAGAATGAATGAGAAAATGATTATTTTCTTATTGTTGCGCTGCGTGCGAGCAAGAAAGCATGAGATACAATGGGTTGAAATAAGATACCTATAGAATCTGACAGTCATTTTTGTAGTATGCATGGGGCTCTTGGTTAGTGAGTTGAGAATGAATGAGAGAATGGTTATTTTCTTATTGCTACGTCGCCTACGAATGGAGTTAGAAACATTTGGATTCCGACAGCCATTTTTGTTGTAGGGATAATAGGAGTGATTGGTAGGATACGAATGAATGAGGAAATGATTTTCTTTTTGCTGCGTTGCGTATAATTCCGAAAGGGTGAATTGGAATAGGACGGGGTAAGAAAACTATAGATTCTGACAGTCATTTTCGGTGTACTCGGGGGGGCACGTGCTTAGAGGGATAAGGCTGAATAAGAAAATGATTATTTTCTCAATCCCAGATTTAGGATAAATCAATAGCGACTGTTCGGTAAAATTTTAGATTTTTTGAATGGTTTCAATTTTTCCATTATGCAATTTAAGAAGAATAAACTTCCGAAATGGTGCCGGTGGACAACCGCGCATACACAAATGGTTGCCACACTTTGTATTCTACATTCCGCACCATTTTACATCAAATTTCCAGTTTTCCGTTGCCTTCAACCAAGGAATGTTCAGGTTTTGTATAGGAATTTTACGCTACTATCA